TGTATGAGGGCGTGTTCGGGAGTAAAATGGAGAGGGAGGGATTTGGGGGTGGGGGTTGGCCAGATTTTGGTCAGGAACTGGCTGGGCATCCATCTCCCCATAGGCAGGGGTGAGCGATGGCCTTTGCATCTTTCCTCTGTCTGTCTCCTGCTATTGAACTATTTTTACCTCCATCCACAGCTTTCTCACTTTTTTCTTTCTTTCCCTTTCTGGGTTCACCCACAGTTGGTGGGAGCAGCTGAGAACCCAACCCTGCCCCATCTCCATCCCCGGACATCGCGGGGTTAGGGAAGTGCTGGAGAGTTGTGAATTTGGGACCAAGGTTGGGCGCTGGTCCAGGGTGAAGAATGGGGAGGGATGGGGAGGAAGAGGAGCAGGAAGAGGAAGGATGAAGAAGGATGAGGACTATCAGCAAGAGGGGACACCCCACCCCACCGCCGCACACACACACACCCCCCCATGTCCTTACACACTCACTGATGCTAGAAGGGATCCAGCAGCTGGCAGCACATTACTGGGTGATACTGGTCTGGGTGGGAGAGGCTGGAGTAGGTGGCTGCTCTGCATATTCCTCAAGAGCCCCCAGCTGAGCCCCTTTGATCTCCCCACAGGGTCTGGGAGAGAGGAGCAGAAGGAGGAGCAGTGCCAGCCCAGGGAAGAGCAGAGGGGGATGCTGCAAGGGCCCCAAGAGGAGCCCCAGAGCCCCACGGTGGCCGTGGAGCACGATGGCCAACAGCAGCCCCGTGATACGCAAGGCAGCAACGCACCAAGAACACTCCAAAAAAGCTCTTTCAATGGGACAGGTGGTGAAGACCCTCCAGAAGCCACAACCCAACCACAGAGTAACGCCAGAGGGAAGCAGTACAGGTGTGAGCAGTGTGGGGAGATCTTCACTTACAGGATCAGTCTGACCCATCACCGACGGACCCACACAGGACAGAAGCCCTTCAAGTGCTGGTACTGCGGGAAAAGCTTCACGCAGAGATGGAACCTCCTGTGTCACCAGACGACACACACCAAGGAGAAGAGATTTTGCTGCACCACATGCAGGAAGCACTTCTGCTTTAGATGGGAATTTGTCAAACACGAACGCAGCCACATGGAGGAGAGACTGTACACCTCGTTGCACTGCGAGATGACTTTCCAGCAGAGTTACCACCTCTACCTCTGGAAGCATCAGCAATCCCTCCAGAATGGTGAGTGCTGGGGGGGGTCTTATTTCAGTATCAGACCCTGCTCAGCAATAAAATGCAGAGGAGGGGGTTTGGGGGTGGAGGTTGGGCAGATTTTGGTCAGGAACTGGCTCAGCATCCATCAACCCATGGGTGGGGGGCAGTGATGGCCTTTGCATTTTTCCTCTGTCTGTCTCCGGCTATTGAAATGGGTTTTCACTCCATGCACAGGTTTTCTTGATTTTCCTCCACTTTTCCCCTTCCCGGTTTCACCCACAGTGGGTGGGAGCAGCCAAAAGACCAACCCTGCCCTGTCCTGACCAGGCAGAAAACTTTAGGGATGGGGGTGAAAGCGGGAACTGAGGGGGGCCGCTGGTTTAGGATGAAGGAAGTGGAGGGATGGGGGAGGCAGAGTAACGGAGGAGGAAGAGGAAGGAGGAAGTACCAATACAACCCTCAAAATGCTCTTTCCAAGGAATGCGTGCTGATGACGTTGAAGAATCCGCCACCCAACCACGGAGTAGCTCCACGCGGGAGTACATGTGTGAGGACTGTGGGAAATTCCTCACCGGGAGGAGCAAGCTGAAGCAACACCAACGGATCCACACCGGAGAGAAGCCCTACAGGTGCCAGGCTTGTGGGAAGAGCTTCACGCTGAGGGGGACCCTCCTGTGTCACCAGAAGACACACACCAAGGAGAAGCGATTTCGCTGCACCACATGCAGGAAAGACTTTTACTTCAGATCTACCCTCATCAAACACCGACGCACTCACAAGTGGGAGAGTCTGTTGGCCTTGTGGCACTGCGAGATGACTTTCCAGCAGAGTTATCACCTCTACCTCTGGAGGCATCAGTTATCCATCCCCAAGGGTGAGTCTTTGGTGAAGGACTTCACCCCGTATCGCATCGTGCTCAGCAATAAAATGGAGAGGAGGGGGTTTGGGGGTGGAGGTTGGGCAGATTTTGGTCAGGAACTGGCTGGGCATCCATCTCCTCATGTGGATGGGTGAAAAATGCTTTTGCAGCTTGCTATCTGTCTCTCCTCGTATTGAACTATATTTATCTCTACCCATGGGGTTTCTTGATTTCCTCTTTTTTTTCTTTTTTCCGTTTCCAAGTTCACCAACAGCACGTGGGAGCAGCCAACAGTCCGCTCTGCCCACCCAGACCTGACCAATCTCCTTTCCTGGCCCTCCCTTGGTTAGCGGAATGTCAGATGGGGGTGAATTGGGGACCACTGGTGGGTGCTGGGCCAGGGTGAAAATAGGGGATATGTTGGGGCATAGAGGAAAGAGGAAGAATGAAGGAGGGGACAGACAAACACACAGAGTATCTTTACACATCCACCAATGCTAGAGGGTTACAGCATCTGGCAGCTCCATACTGGGTGGTACTGGTCTGGGTGGGAGGTGCTGGAGGAGGTGGGTGCTCTTCATGTGCCTTAAGAGCCCCCAGCTGAGCCCCTTTGGCCCCCCCACAGGCGCTGGGACAGAGGAGCAGAAGGAGGAGCAGTGCCAGCCCAGGGAAGAGCAGAGGGGGATGCTGCAAGGGCCCCAAGAGGAGCCCCAGAGCCCCACGGTGGCCGTGGAGCACGATGGCCAACAGCAGCCCCGTGATACGCAAGGGAGCCGCGGAACGAGGAGACCCCGAAAATGCTCTTTCAAAGGGTCATATTTTGAAGATGCTCAGGAAGCCACAACCCAACGACAGAGTTTCTCCAGAAAGGAGAATTACAAGTGTGAGCACTGTGGGAAAGTGCTTGCCTCAATGAGGAGCCTGACCTATCACCACCGGACCCACACGGGAGAGAAGCCCTACAAGTGCTGGGACTGTGGGAGGGGCTTTGCAAGAAGACAAAGCCTCCAGAGTCACCAGAGGACACACACCAAGGAGAAGCCGTATCTCTGCACCACGTGTGGGAAACGCTTCTCCTTTAGCTCCAACCTCCTTGTCCACCGACGCATCCACACAGGAGAGAAACCGTACGCCTGCACCCACTGCGGGAAGAGATTCAGGGACGGTTATAAACTCAGGAAGCATCGGGAATCCATTCACAGTGGTGAGTCCTTGGAGAGGTGTAACCCTGTATCCCATCGAGCTCATCCATAAAATGCAGTGGGTGGGGTTTGGGGCAGTTCTTGGCAAGATCTCGATCAGGAACTGGCTGGGCATCCATCTCCCCATGGGTGGGGGGTGAGTGATGGCCTCTTCCACCCTCCTGTGAAAATATTTTTACCTCCATCCACAGCTTTCTCACTTTTTTCTTTCTTTCCCTTTCTGGGTTCACCCACAGTTGGTGGGAGCAGCTGAGAACCCAACCCTGCCCCATCCCGACCTGCCCCAGCTCCATCCCTGGCCCTCCTAGGGGAAGGGGGGAATTACAAGGGGATGAACTTGAGAGCAAGGAGGAGAAGGGAAGGGAGGGAGCCGAGCAGGCAGAGCCATGCAGGAGGTGGCTGCTCTTCATGGGCCTTAAGAGCCCCCAGCTGAGCCCCTTTGGCCCCCCACAGGCGCTGGGACAGAGGAGCAGAAGGAGGAGCAGTGCCAGCCCAGGGAAGAGCAGAGGGGGATGCTGCAAGGGCCCCAAGAGGAGCCCCAGAGCCCCAGGGTGGCCGTGGAGCACGATGGCCAACAGCAGCCCCGTGATACGCAAGGGAGCCGCGGAACAAGGAGACCCCAAAAATGCTCTCTCAAAGGGACGGGTGGTGAAGACCCTCAAGAAGACACAACTCAACCACAGAGTCACTCCAGAGAGGAGAAATACAAGTGTGAGCACTGTGGGAAAGTGCTTGCCTCCAGGCACAGCCTGACCTATCACCAACGGACCCACACAGGAGAGAAACCCTACAAGTGCTGGGATTGTGGGAGGGGCTTTCCAATTAGAGAAAGCCTCCTGAGTCATCAGAGGACACACACGGGAGAGAAGCCCTTTCTCTGCACCACTTGCGGGAAACGCTTCTCCTTTAGGTCCAACCTCTTTGTCCACCACCTCATCCACACAGGAGAGAGACCGTACGCCTGTACCCACTGCGGGAGGGCATTCAGGGAGTCTTATCGCCTCCGGAAACATCAGGCGTCCTTCCACAATGGTGAGTCCTTGGACAGGCTTAACCCTGTATCCCATCGAGCTCATCATTAAAATGCAGTGGGTGGGGTTTGGGGCAGCCCTTGCCCAGATCTCGATAAGGATCTGGCTGGGCATCCATCTCCCCATGGGTGGGGGTGAGTGATGGCCTCTTCCACCCTCCTCCTGTCAAATTATTGTGACCTCCCCATAAATGTTTCCTCACTTTTCTGTTTCTTTCCATTCCCGGGTTCACCGCTAGTGTCTGGGAGCAGCCAAGAGCCCAACCCTGCCCCATCCCAACCTGCCCCATCTCCATCCCCGGCCCTCCCAGGGGAAGGGGGGAATTACAAGGGGATGAAATTGAGAGCAAGGAGGAGAAGGGAAGGGAGTGAGCCGAGCAGGCAGAGCCATGCAGGAGGTGGCTGCTCTTCATGGGCCTTAAGAGCCCCCAGCTGAGCCCCTTTGGCCCCCCACAGGCGCTGGGACAGAGGAGCAGGAGGAGGAGCAGTGCCAGCCCAGGGAAGAGCAGAGGGGGATGCTGCAAGGGCCCCAAGAGGAGCCCCAGAGCCCCACGGTGGCCGTGGAGCACGATGGCCAACAGCAGCCCCGTGATACACAAGGGAGCCGCGGAACGAGGGAACCCCGAAAATGCTCTTTCAAAGGGACGGGTGGTGTAGACCCTCAAGAAGACTCAACCCAACCACGGAATAACTTCAGAAAAATGAGTACAAGTGTGAGCAGTGTGCGAAAATCTTCACCTGGAAGAGAAGCCTGCGCTGTCACGGACAGATCCACACGGGAGAGAAACCTTTCAAGTGCCAGGATTGTGGGAAGAGCTTCAGGCAGAGAGAGCACCTCCGACACACACCAAGGAGGCTGCTGGCGCGGAAGTCCCGGACATATCTTATATGACCAATATGATCAATGTGATCGAGTTAATGCCCCTTTATTAAAGGATACACAGCAATTTATAGACCACCATAAAGCACACGCGGAGCTACTTGTTTGCTCATAGCCTAAGGCCACGTGTCCACGCGCCCTTTTCCCCGCTATGATCGGTCCCGCTGTGGTGTCCTCGCGCCGCCCTCCTGCCGGGCAAACCTCTTGTTTTGCACAGTCCAGCTTCCTTATCTCTTTGCTACGCGCGCAGTTTCTCGGCCCCTTGGCCTTGCAGCTGCTCTTCACAGCAGCCACAGCCTGTTGTTACAGCGAGGCCACTCGCTCTGGATCGCTCATAATGTGTCCGTGGTTTTTCCAGCCGTTTCACAAATCCCCCTTTTTGTTTTTGAGCGATCCAGACCCCTTTTATTGTGCGGTCCATCGTTGTCATCGAACACTTCCACACGCAGTTTAACGTCATTAAAAGGAGCGTAGTGACAACTTAAACTGTTATTCCGTGTAAAAACAAATGCGTTACCCATCCAGTAATCGATAACCTTTTAGCCAAATCGTTATTAAACAATCTTTAAGATGTAAACCCACCGCATAAGCGTCGCCACAAAACCAAGTGTCATTTACAGGGAGTGCTGAAGGGGTCACGTTTTGCCATCCCAGCCAAGCTGTCTGGTTATACCAACCATGGTGACCGGTCAGATCGGCTTTTTGTCCACCGAACTGTGCACATCCTCAGGCCTGATCTTGCCTGCTGTTCCCAGCTGCTGGGGGAAGAGAGCCTCTCAGCTCTAACTCCAACCAAACAGGTCTGGGACGGGTCGGCAGCGGTTGCTAAGGCCAGGCAAAATGCCTTGATGTCCTGATTGATTTTTCCCTGCCGCCTTGGCACAGCTCAGCAGTTCCGTATCTATCCTACGAGGCCTGTTCTTCACCAAAGCCGAGCTGTCTGTCAGAGGCTGTGTAAGGCCGGTGCCTCCCAGATCTCCCTTTTCTTGGTTTCGCAGCGGCACCTGCAAGATTTGTTTGCGACCTGTATCAATTAAGGGTTAGACAAACTTCAAAAAGCAGAGCGTACTTGGAATAGTTCCACAGAAGGCTGAAACAATAGAGCAGTTAAAACTGCTAATTAAAAGAGTAGGCTAATTTCACTACCTATAAATAAGGGATATGACTGAATACTACAAAATAAACAGTAAGGAAAACACGGAGTAGCACACTTACTTAATAGAAGCACTAGCGTTCAGGTCCGCAATCGCTGGGGAACCCTGGGTGCAGCGAGGATTCGGAGCGCCCTTCCTCACAAACCGGAGATCCTACGCCATGTGTCCAGCCGTAGGGGAGGCATCCAACGCCGCTGCCAGCGGGTCCAGCCCCTAAATCAACAAACCAAATGAACTGGTGATTCTCTGGGAGCGGGAACATCTGATTTCATCCTCCTGTTGGGTTCCACCCCGAGCCTGGCCAGCACTCCAGGGGGAAAAAACCAAGGGAGTTTAGAATAAGATTAAACAGCTTGAGTTCCTAATTCTTTATATTGCTAAACAAAGTTGAACACACACCTTCTTACAGCATTTCATCCTCATTAATAACTACATTCCGTCTAAGCTACATCTTTCACTACTGATTAGTAAGCCTAGACATTTCATTAAGGAGTTGCAATTGCTGTTAGCATTTTCTCTTAAAAGAATTGGCAACCGTAGGGTATTTTGTCCTGTTGCGGTAGCAAACATTACCCAGACATTCTGCTTGAATGATCAGTCCAAGAGGCCGCAGGCTGCCGGCACAGGGGCACCCACAGCACCCACAGCTGGATCCCGAGGGCTGGCTGCCTCTCACCCTCAGGGGTGGTCGCACACACCCTGCCGGTGACCACTGGAGACCTGTGCAGACCCCAGCATCACCTCTTCCCCAGGTGATTAAGGGAAAGGGCCCTTCCCAGTCACCACTTTCTTGGGTTTTTTTGTTAGCGCTTGAGCCTTGCCCTGAACTTCTTGTTGATCTGGTATCTGCGATGAGAAGTGACCCAGTATTGGTGGCACCTGTGAGACAGGGGGA